CAATGAGGTGCTTTGCGCCGCTGTCGTCCCTGCAGCGGCGGCCCCCGGCCAAAGGAGCGGGGAGGCAGCAGAGGAAGAGGCACCAGAGAACGACGGGAGTGATGTAAAGGAGGAGGAGGAGGGTGAAGTTTACATCTGGTACTTTATTCGGGCACGAGGAGCTCCGCGTTCTGCGCTGGGGGAGCTATGCGACGTGGAGCGGGTCCCTGCGAAGGTGTGTTCCACATTTTCCGACTTTGTGAAGCACATTATGGCGCGGCGAGAGTATCTGGAAGGGCGTTACTTGAAGGAGAAAGCCACCGCCGGGGTTGAGGTGGCGGGGGCGGCGCTGGACCCGCCCAGAGTGCAGACCGTGGACGGTGGTGACGGTGGTGACGGCGGCGGCGGCGGCGCCACTAGGCTCCTGTACCAGCTACGGAGGGGCGGCGAGAGCCGTTGCTTCACCGGCGCCGCTGCGGAGACTGAATTGAGGGACGCTGGCGTACTGAACCCCGCTGGTTGTTTCCTTGGTGAGTTCCGGCTGTTGTTGGAGTTTGATAGCTCCGTGCATGCCCTGAGTGAGAGGCTTTCCAGCACGACGGTCCTCTCCGCGGTCGGGGGAGGGAACGACTCCAGTTGTGACGCGTCGGCTGACCTCGCCGAGATGGGCAACGCGGTCACGTTGAAGGAGTGCCTGGAAGCGACGTACGCTCCTGACAGGCTGGAGGGGGAGAACGCCATCGAATGCGACAAGTGCAAGGCGCGCCGGGCCAGCAATATGAAACGGAGACTATTTTTGCTGCCACCGTGCCTTCTCATCTCGCTCAAGCGCTTCAGAGTGCACATGGAGGAGACGTCGAAGAACAACACGTGTGTAATGTTCCCGAAGGAGCTGGACATGGCGCCCTTCCTCGACCCAGAGTCGCCCGTGCAAAACGCAACGTACTCACTGCGCGGCGTCGTGACCCACAGAGGGAGCATCAACTACGGTCACTACAGCGCCTGCGTGATGAGCGACAGCTGCGGCGAGTGGGTCCGGTACGACGATCAGTGCACCAGCAAGGTGCAGGGCCCCCCCGACAGGGATGCGTTTATCCTCTGCTACGAGCGTGCCGAGTTCGAGGCCGACAAGGCGGGGCATGCTGTCGGCAGGGCAAGTGGGCTCTAGTGTGTGGCCTTCCCTTTTTGCGGTAGAGGGAGTGTGTTTCCTTCCTCCCTCCCTTGCCCGTTCTCTCTCGTGCTCCGCGCGTGCATGTGCGTGTGCGTGTCCGTGCAAATATGCCTCTGGGCTGTTTTCCCTCTTTTTTTTGTTTTGTTTTGGCTCTGACTGCCTCCTTGGCAAGCCGTGCCACGCCCTGCAAATAACCTTTGACCCTCCTCCTGCCCCCCCAACGGGGAGAAGGCGGACATAAGCACACACGCACACACACACTGAAGAGAAAACAACACGCAACCAAAAAAAAAATAAACAACAACGAAACTGATGTTTGCGTAAATAACTTTTCCTGGTCTCCGCATGTTTGTTTGCGCTCTGCTGAGGCAGAGCATTTCTCTGAAGTTATTTCTGTTTTTTTCTGTCGGTTTGATCTGACTTTTCCCTTTTTCCTTCCCTTTTACCCCTCCTCGTGTGCACCTCGTCGCGCCCCCACTCGAACGCGCAGAGAGCGACTACGTGAAAACGTCAGCCGGCACTCGTTCCATCTCCAGCGGGAGACGAGGAAAACAGGCAGCAGCAGCAGCAAGCAACCAAGGCGCGAGCCGACAGGGTAGCACGCATGGCCACGAATAGCGCGGCTGCTGAGGCGGACGCGCGCCGCTCGCAGGTGGCCGGCGGCATCGTCGCCGCCCAGGCGGAGGTGATTCGACAGGAGGAGGCGATGCGGCAGCTCACGGCGGACAACGAGAAGCTCAAGAAGGAGATAGCGGCCGTGAGCGGGGTGCCGTACGACTACGTCAAGGCCGACAAGTTCGCGGCGCTGAAGGGAGAGGTGGACGCGCTGGAGCGACGCTACCAGTTTGAAAAGATGAAGAAGAACGAGCTGACGCGACAGTACCAGCTGGCCCGAATTGACCTTCTACAGAGCCGCCGGTTGAAGGGTGGCGTGAACGCCGAAAGGGAAAATGCCGAGGCGCTGCAGCGTCAGGTAGACATCCTAGAGAATCGTCTGGATCAGGCACTGACGAGGTTCAACGACGCTATTTCGTACAACAAGGAGCTTCGTGACCACATTGACATCATCCGCGAGGAGCGCCGCGTCTTTCAGCGTGTGTACAAGCGGATGGAAGACGATCTGGGCTCGAAGAAGAAGCTCATGTCAGAGCGCATTGAGCAGTCCAACAAGGACCTGGATGAGCGCGACGGGTACCTGCGCCAGGTGGAGCAGCTGCAGAAGGCGATCAAGGAGCAGAAGCAGGAGTACGATGGGAAGGTGCAGGAGTTGGATGCGGCGATGGTGGAAATCGGGGAGATGCGAAAGGAGCAGCAACGACTGCAAATTGAGCTTGAGGCGCGCCAGTACGAACTGGACAACACCGACAGCATGGCCGCCACCAATGCCACGGGTGCTGGAGACACGGGCCCCAAGCGGCGTCAGCTACTCGATGACAAGACTGAGACGGCGAAGGAGGACTTGACTGAGGGCGGTGAAACGGACCCTGCCGTGGAGGATGAGCCGGACATCAACGAGGTTCTGCGACAACTCCATGAGTTCTCACAAAACGGCGACATGGTGTCACTGGCGAAGGAGTATGAGTCACTTGGAGACACCAATTTCTCGCTTTACAAGTACGTCAATGAGCTCACCACAAACAGGGAGGAGATGGAGCGCGATATTCGCACGCTAAAGTCTGTTATCGCGGCGGAGCACGAAAGTGAGGCGAAGCAGAAGTGCCTCATCAAGGGGCTCGAGGAGCGCCTTGCTCAGACAGAGGGGCTGCTAGAGAGCCTCCACGTATCCACAGAGAAGCACAAGGAAGTCCTTGCAAACATCCGTGTTGTGACGGAAGAGATCTTTCACGAGTTGGGTTGCTCCATGGGTGACGCCCCCAAATCGTTTCTTGCCAATGACCACTGCACGGAGTCGAACCATTTGCAGTTTCTCGGGAAGATTGAGGAGCGGGCGACGAGCATCATGTACGCGTTTCAGCGGCACCGGCGCAAGGAGGCCAGAATGGCCGAGCTAGCGACGGAGGAAGAGTCGAAGCGCATCCTCGCGCTTCAGGAGGGTGCCCCCGTCCCCACCGCCAACGCCGCAGAGGAGGAGGGGGAGGAGTTGATGAAGACCGCCTTGGCGGAGACCGCGCGGCCGCCGGAGGAAGGGATAGCGGGCGCCTCCGCCGAAGACGCCCCGGCGCTCACACCGACGGCGGAGGCAAAGCCGCACGACGGGGCGAGGGAAGGCGCGGGGGCCGTGGAAGCGATGGCGTTGACGATAGAGGAGGAGGGGCCGCCATTTGTTCCCATGCTGAATATGCCGGGAGAGCAGGGCGTCAACGCGGTGCGGCTGGTCCGTCACCTGTGCCTGCCGAGCGCCCACCTCGGCAGCGACGAGGGCGTCGAGGTGCTGGAGGAGGGGGAGGGGGACCGCGTGGTGTCGCACGAGGAGGTCCGGCGACAGATGGAGCGCCGGCTTCTCTCAAAGCGCGAGCGCGAGGAACGCGCGCATCGCAGGCGGCGGGAGCTGAAGGAGCAGCTGGCCGGCCAAACCACCGCCCCGCGGAAGCGGTAGGGGACTCCGCGCGAAGGCGGGTTGCGTCCTTGCGGGAGACGACGGGTGAAATGTACGTGGCGTGAGGAGCAAACGCACGGCGCACGCCGCGCGCAGGCGGGCGGGCAGGAGATGGAAGGGACGAAAGAGGTGCACGGAGGCCGAGGCGAAGCCGCAGGAGGCAAGCGGTGGGGTCTCGCACCCACGGGGGAAAGGAGAAGGGAAAGGGGGAAACGAACACCGAAGGCGGGACATCGCAGGAAGCCAAAAAGAAAAGCGGAAGAAGAAGAAGAAAAAAAAGTCCCGGAGTGTGAAGGCGGCACCAGCAACAACAGCAACAAAACAACAACACACATACATACAAACACACGCACACACACAAAGACACCTTCCCCTCCCAAAATGTAACGAAAACAAAAAAAATGAAAATAAAAACAAATACAAAAACATGCTTTCCTGAAAGTTGGGCAGTGGATGATGCTGATGTAATGCTGGTGTCTTTTTTTTTTCTTGTGTTTCTTTTGTAAGGAGAGACATCAGTATATTGTGTATATGGGTCGATATATACACAATTTTTATGTGTATGTGTGTGTCTCCCACTTTCGCTGTGTCTAGCAACCTGTCCGTGCAGATGCATACATGCATTTGCATGGGTGCACGGTTGTCTTGTCCAAATGCTACATGTGTGCGTGTGTGCGTGTGTGCGTGCGTGCGTGCGTGCGTGTGTTTTGTATTCGTGCGCCTTCCGTTTAGCGTGTGCTTTGCCCCCCTCTCCCCCTCCGACTCGCCACCCATACTTTTCCCACTGGTTGTGGTTATGCATCATTCGTTTTTCTCTCTGTGTACCTGCCTGCGTTGCGCGTGGAGTGCGAGGACGGCCAACCGGCAGTATTATTATCTATGTATGCTATACTTGAATGTTCCAAGACTGACCAAATAAGTGGCTCTGCTGCTGGAGAGAGCGAGAGCGAGAGAGGGCGC